TCAGTATATGACTAAGTTTGACTTCTGGAGGAGATTTAGTGCGTCATGCACGTATAAATTAAAAATAGGGCGAGAAAACAGAACACTAGGGGATCTGGTACAGTGGTGCCAAGAATAAGAAAGATCCAGTAATAAGCGATGGCTAGCACGGTTCTTTCGGGTGATCGTTTTTGATTAAAACCGTTGCTAAAAAAAATTCAAGAGTTGATAGTGCCGTAGTGGTGGAGTTGAGTGGGCGAAAGCCGTGCTGACGGTCAGCTTTAGGAAGATTCTTTGTAAAGAGTGGTATGGATTAAAAACTCACAATTTTCACTGCTGGGCTTCAAATCGACACTGGGCGGTAAGAGTCCGATAATTTAAAACCTTTGGTTGATTTTGGTAGGGAGACTACTTTCGAGTTCTTCCATATTTGGGGTATTTTGTTATTCAATAAGGACATTAAAAGTATGTGTTAAAAAATTTATGACAGTTGGTCCCATATAATAATGAAAAGAAGCAAAAAATTATCAAAAAGCGCTCATTTGGAGTTTAAAAAATGGCTGTCCCAAAACTGTGCTATTTAGTAATTAACTTAGTCCTCAACGTTCTATTATCTAACATGGGGCAATCCAATACACCGCCAGAAAGACTCAAGAGTGAAAAAAGGAAAAGTCCAAATATTGCAGTGAGCCTCAACTTCTCAAGACACAACGCCAATAAAAAATACTTGAAGATGCGATGGAGAAAAAATCCTAAAAATAAGGTATTTTGATTTTTCGCTATTTATGGTAATGTAGGAAAAATTGAACGCGCGACTTTCAAGTCAGTTTGTTAGACTCAATTTACGAGTGCTTCGATAGAAGTTTTGGTCGTCATGGTGAATTGATTGACTAGCTTAATAGAATTTGTAGAAGTCAACTGTATTTTCTACACTCAGGAATAATTTTCGTGTTCGTCTTTCATGTTATTGCTGAGTTGCTACCATTTTTCTGAGCCGCATTTTTTTGGACTGCGCTATATGAAAGCGACAACTATAATTTGAGCTGTGAGCGCACTGAGTTTGAACTTAAAGTTTTTCTCACCCGACTCCATTTGACATTTTTTGCTACACTTCTCGTGAAAATGAATCACACAACATCCAAAGTTCGCCCCGAAGTTTTTCTGACACTTCTATTTTAATTTTTCTTGCAATAAATTTTATCAAGGTTCGTGTAATTTTGTAATAACACAACAACGCTCCTTAAGAGCCCATCTATCACAATATTACCTTTCACACAAGTTAGACATGCATATAAAGGCTGTCTAGTCATAGCTCCCAGTTTATACGTGCATTCATCATCTCGTAAACCACCAAACATGGACGATACTTCATCATCGTAGTCTGCCAAAAAATCTTCCATCGTAACTATCTCATCGTCATCAACCGAATCAGTTTCATCATTGGTTGAAATTTTGATTTCCGAAGTTGAACTTGTTTTCTCTTCAACTTGATTGCTCTTTTCTGTACATTCCGATTTGGTCACATTTTTTTCACTTGTAAAGTTAAATGCCGAATAATTCTTTTCATAAACAAGTTCAGCGTTGCTGACGTTTTCCACACATGTAACTTCATTCAAACTTTCGTTGTTTTCAACCGTCGTTTTCTTTTCAGAAGAAGTTGCCGTTTGCAAATGTTGAGCTTTTTGGTCCGCTTTGCTGGCAGAAAACGCATGATTGTTAGCAATTTTTTCACATTCTTCATTCAGAAAATCGGTTGATTTGTCCGTTTGGTTTAACTGTACTTCAGTAACATGCAAATTTTCTTTGTCATTACTCAAAATAGATTCATCGTCATTCGAAGTAATATTCATTTTTTCGGTAGTCACAAAATCTACTGTTGATTTATCAATTTTGTTTTCTACGTTTTGCGTTTTTTCACATGATGCAAGACATTCGACATCTTCAATTTGAGAGGCCTAAAAATAAATTAAATCTGTACGCTGAATTGTTTTCGATAAAATTCATCACTAACATACTTTTTACCTAGGTAATATAATAAAAATCATGCTATTGAAATGAACATTTTTGATCAAAATATCCAACTTTTCTAAGCTTCTAATTTCTACGTCTAAATCTGTTCTTTGGATTAGATGAGACATAATAGGTTGAAAATATTATCCTTAAAACGACAATAAAATGCTACTTGCCTTCAATTCAGCTTCTGGTTCAATTCGAGCGCGTTTTTGTGAGGGCTCATCCATGTTTATCAACACAAAACAAACCTCTAAAACTAACAAAAAAATAGTTAAATCGCCACAAACAGTTTTTATTACTTTTTTGAAACATGAAATCCAATTCAATCAAAAAAAGCTGAATAATTTCCAAAAAAAAACATTTGTTTCAGTTTTAAGTTGTTGCTGAATTTCGCCTAAATTTTACAGGTCATGATGGTTGTTTCTATTGACAAAATGGCAGTACAACCAGCATTTCCTGCTTATGTCAAAAAATTTCAAGCCTAATTGATCCATAGACCAACAGCGAATACTTTTACCTAATTGCGGCCAATTAAACATAAACGAATGGACTAACATTAGTATCCAGACAGCCCTATCAAAAGCTCTGAAAATTCCAATTGATCTTAAATTGTCTCAGAAAACATAGCCAACAGACAGTTAGAAAAGAGTAATGAACGCAAGTAAACAAAAAAAAACACTGAAAAAAAAACTTTCAAATTTCGAATTTCAAAGAAAAAAAATAGATGCCCTTTAATCTCTTTGAATTTCTAGAACAATATATGATTGGTTTGAGACTATTTAAGATTATTAGAAGATAATTTAAGATTATTAACCAAGCTTAAAAATACGCGCTTACGCGCTGAGCATCATAGATTAGTTCAGCAATTTGGCCGACTTTCAAACATCCAAAACTTTTCATCATTTGAATTCAGGAAGTCAATATCTTGAACCTTGTTATATCTCTCAGCAAAAAAAAATCATCTGATTGTTCACTATTTACTTTTCTGCTGATGCGTAACGTGGTAATTAGTAATCACAAACATAAGGGATGGTTTGATTTGTTACTAGTGGTAACAATTTGTTGGTAACCTTACTAAAAAAACTTTCTCTCATGTTTAGTTTAAAAAACCTTTCTGTTTTTATAGGACTACTGCTGTAGCATGATAAAAAATATTACCACTTGCTGCCCGCTTTGCATTTTTGGAAGTTACGATTGCATGATGAAAAAGATTTTCGTTCTGGAAAAGACACGTTTTTGTTCATTGATTTTTAAAATTCTGTTCACTTTCAAAAGAACTTATAACCTTTTAGGGCAGAGGCTTGGGCATCCTAGTATCCCGCTGTCCTCTCCAAGTCTAATTATCTAAAGTTACATAATCTTAGTGAACGATAAGTTAGAGAAACAAACTCTTCCTTCATTCTTTTTCATTAAATGCGTGTGATCGATATTTAAGAAGGTTTGTAAAATTTTTATTAAGCACCACTGCATCTTTGAGGCTACAATTTAGTAAACTAGTATATAGTTTCAATGGGATATGCAAATTGGTGTATAACCAACAGATATTAGAAAAAATCAATTAAACAAAATGACTGAAAAAATGATGAATTTTTTTGAATGTTTCCAACTTAAATTTATAGAAAAAAACTCACAGGAAAGCATTTTGAAAATCATAAATATTTTATGATTGACACTTTCTTCATGAACCTAACTCAATTAGAGAAAACTGGTTCAACTAAAACTTTTGTTTACTCCTCTTGGAGTTCTGATTATTAAAGAACATTTTTGAAACTTAAAAAAATTCATGTTATTTCGCGCCATTTTCACATTTGATTTTGGAGAACGTAGCTTACCTTCCTTTCAGCAAATGCATTGAATTGCACTTTAAAAGAAATAAAAAGTCAAACCACAAAAAAAATCAATTTTGAACGTGAGCAAAATGAAAAAAATTTTCCTGAAAGAAAAAGAAACCACGGAACCTTAACAATTGAAAAATCACATCGTTCATTGACACTTTTAAATTCTCTTGATTTCTTGAGTTTTTAAATCGGTTCGAAAAAAAAAGACTGAAAAGAGGTCGACCCCGAAAAGAAGATTTTGTGGTCGACCCACGAGCATAAACACTCGGTTAATTTCTTCAAAATTCGAAACAATAATAGCGGGTAAAAACAAGAAAGTAACTCTCTTTTTTACAATCTTGGTATATTTCCGGAGCCCTCGTACAAAAATGTTAGAGAACTCGTGAAAAAGTACATAATATTGTCAGAAGCTAAAAGTTGAACATTCCTTAAACTCTTCGATCCTCTAATTATCTGCTGAGCTCAAATTGAAGCAACATGAACATATAACCAATTGAATTTTGACACGTAAAATTTATTTATAGCACCCTTCGGGAAACTTTGCTATTTACAAGGGCATGAAACTGATTCCATACTTCTTTCTGTGAATCATATTTTCATCGCAATAGTAAAAATTATTTGAAGCAAAAACTTATAACAACATTAACTAAAAATGAAATATTAATAAATGACAATTAATTTATACTGCAGAGCAGAACCCCAAATCAAGCCTCTAGTGACCTGATTGTCAGACTCGTGATCACTTCTAGAAGTTATTTTTCCTTTAGCTTAGCTTGGACTATTCTGATCCCTACCATCGCAGTTAACCTTTTGCCCTTCAATAAACTATCAACCAGAACACCTCTAAACCAGGGGTGAATCTAGGAGTTTCTCGAGGGGGACAGATTATCAAAAATCTGTCGACCTTTTTTTTGAGGTTGACCAAATTAGTTTCCGAGCGCTCTCAGTACAAGCAAGTCAAAAATGCCATTTCTGGGATTTTTTTAACCATAAATTGACAGTTTTTCTACGCGCGCTTGCCTTCAAAATTAGTATCTATAAGCACGAGAAACCTTTAGAAACCTATTAGTGCTGGTCGCCATAAGATTAGTCGCCAAAAACTGATGCCATAAGATTAGTCGCCAAAAACTGATGCCATAAGATTATTTTTTTATCTTATAGAAATCCACTAACTAACAGAATAGTCCTTTTATTCGAAACAGAAATCAACTTTCCTCCACTCGACCTTTACAAGTAATAAAATCATAAGCGAAAAAAAAGAAACTTGACAATGAGAAAGCACCGCCAATTATTCCAACTATTCTGACTAGAAATTGCACTAAAGGTTTCCGTTTTTCCTTGGCTATGATTTTAAGAGATGCGAAATCGTACTTGAAGAATATCCCTGATTGGCCGTGTGTTCCGTGAGAATGGTCGATGATTTTCTCTTTCTCGGTAACACTAAAACAGAAATCTGATCAAATTACTGTCCAAACTATTAGATCTTCGACTTTAAAAAATAATATGCGAACCAACATATAATTGATATTTGTTGATTAGTTCAAACAGAACGCTCTTCAACTGCAGCTCGCTCGTTCGAAGAAAGTTTGAAAAACGAAAAAAATGAACTTTGTCATAAAATTATTACAAGGTGCAAATGTTCACAAGGTGCAAAGTTCGCATAATCTAAATCGTTAATTTTGTTCTTCAAATTGTTACAGAATCTAGATACCCCAGAAAGGATGATAGTTAACAAGACCCACAAAAAGAAACAAACATACTAACCTGAACCTATAAGTCGTTATCTTATTCTTAAAAGTCTCAATGCCCACAGGAACAACTGTCATCCTATACTGATACTCTTGATTCTCATGCTCGGTTATTTTCAACTCGCTGTCCAATGCTCCAATCATAGGCACTTTCACCGCTCCGAAGGACAAATGGTCGATTCGGTGTGAGAAATTGTACTTGCCAGCACCTGAAAGATGGAATTTATTCGTGCCAAATGTTCTTTAATTTTTCTTTTCCAAAAAAAACTAGAATAAACTTCGCTTGCATATATGATAGAATAACGTATAAAAAAGTGTAATAATTTATTTAATTTGGGCGACGACTAGCGCTTACCTTAAAACCCGTATATTCTGATCAGCAGTACAATGCATAAGAAAAAACTATTTATGTTCAAAAAAAGACAATGTATAAGAAAAAACTTTCACGCCCAGACCACTCAGTGAAAGAAATCTTAATAGCACAAATATAACGAATTTTTGGTACGTTATATTCGAAATAATTAAAGTGAAACAAAATTTGGAAAAACAAACCTGGCATTTGAATATGAGCGTGGAAACTCCCTCCAATTCCCAGATTAATTTGCTTCCCAGATATTATATGAAGAGTTCCAGCATGTCTATTGACTAAAATTGACCCATTAAAGCGACACGCCTTAAAATCCTCTCCCTCTTCCTTTTTTTCTGATAAATCCGACATTGTGATTGAGCTTGAGAAGTCTTTCCCTCCTAAAAATAAAATAATTTGTAACTGGTACATATCCCCACCAGCTAAACAGTCGATTTGACTACAAACTCGTTCTGTCAAAAGTATCAAATTAAGACCCTTTATTCACGGGGGAAAGGACCAACACAAGATCTGTGCAGCTCATCACGGCGAACCGCTGTTGTGCACCTGTTTAAGAGCTACATGCAATTTTTTTGGTTATTTTTCTAGGCTGGGTAATGTTGCTTCACCCTCTAGCTACGAGCGCGGATCATGGTGGGCCTCGAACATCCGACCTTTCGATTGAGAGGCGGATACGTAACCACTTCACCACCGCTCCCCTATTAAATATTACTAGTAAGGCGAAGGTGCACTTGATGCATTCCAGCAAATTAAAGAGAAACTTGCTCATATCTGAGAGTGTAACTAACGAAAAATTCAACTACATCAATAAATTTTAAGCCATTTCTCAGATTCCTCTTATAATCTATGTATAATATTCAAAGATATTTATTTATCTAGTAACTTCTGTACTCACTTCTATTAGGAATGATTTCTGCGTCGGATTGATTCACCGCCCCCTCTACGTATTTAAAGACATTTTCAATAGTGAGTTCAATAGGGCATATTATTATCCAAAATTGGCTTTTTCAAACCCCCGGAATTTTGGGGAAAAATATCCGATGAAACATCTTTCTGCGTTAGAGCTCAACGGACTTTGACACAGCCACAGCCTCCAAACAAAAAAAATAAAAAAGGCGACAATTTAACTAGGTTTGCTAGGTTATACATTAGTTGATGTATGGTGGCAGTTAATCAAACAAAAACAAGACAATTCTTAACTGCATTGACGTGTCAGTGAAATGTGACATCTCAACCTGAACTAGTCGGGCATTGCCCAAGCCTTTCGAAAGTTATTCATTATAAAGAAGCTATTCAGGAACAAACCAAAAGCAATTTAGCATTTCTTCGTCAGTTTTTTATCAGAACAAACCAATGCTCAACGCAGAGGCAAAAACGCATTTCGCAAACGCAAACAAAAAAAGAAAACCTCAAAAAAAACGTTTTTAAAAAAAAGTTATAAAAATAAGCAGTGAAAAACAAAAATATTTAGCCGACTCCACGATTCACCCAACGGACCTTCAGATTGCTTTCTTCTTGTTGTATCATTAGATAAACACATCCTTTAATGAAGGCGCTTTAAATACAGAGGTAAAGCAAGCAAGAACAAACGCAAGCAAGAAAACGACAAAAAATAGCTCTAAAAGGCATTGGCATTAAACTAGCTTTAGCTTGTGGCAATCCGGTAGTGATGGTACCCAGCAATCATGAGATTGATGGTACAAATCGCGTGTGCGCTGCAATTTAGAAGATGGAATCTTGTAAGATAGCCATAGTTTACTTAACTTAAAACTATTAAGCTTCGGATTAGGCCTCTGGCTGGTTAACTAAAAAAAACAATTAGACAAACTCAAAAATTTCAAACCGGTTTTTCTTGACTCCGGGAAAATTTTTGAAAATTTTTGTACTGTCGTTCGAATTATTACTGAAAGGGCTTTAAAAAGATATCTCACTCAACTCTCTCCGATAACATCACCTCTGAAAATTTTTGGCCAAATTTGTTTTCATTATATCATTTTTTGATGACAAAACTAAGACAATTCAGGCCGTTTCCGATAAATTGTGATTGCGAGACTTTCTAAACTTTGGTAAGTCTACTTTTGAGTAACCAAGGTCTTTGCCACTTGTACTCGGTTACGAACACATCCCCAAAAAATTTTTGGTTTTTGGAAAAATTCTATTTATACAAGTTCTTATACATGAAAATCTTTACTCATAGGCCTTAAGGAAACGCATGAAAATTGTATGACTTGCATTTTTCCATTATTGAAAGTTGTCTGATTGCATTTTTGGTCAAACCGGGTCAGCGATTAAGCAAATAAGAAATTTTTATGAATAGCCGGGTCAAATCGCATGTGCCCTGCAATTCGCAAGGTGAGCGCTTGCAAGTAGATCATAGTTAATTGAGAGCTGGATATATGCTTTCTTGTCAACCTAACCCTAATCAAACGAAAATTTCATTGTCCTAGGCGGAGTCTGCCATGATTTTGATATAGAGCCAACCAAATCTTTTATCGCTGGAAGGCGAACGCTTTGATAACAAGACAACCATTACTGAAGATGACGCTAGACTTGACATCAAGGCTAATAACTCTGGGGAAGCCGCTCTAGCCGAACCTTTCTCAATTTGAAGACTTTCAACTCTCGGGCTAAATCGGTCCCAAAAACCATACCCGACGCTTACAAATATCACGACAGCGTGAATACCCTCAAATACCAACGAAATCTTTTTGCATGTTCCGGAGCAGCGCCAGGCTCCACTAAAACAATTCAGAAGCTAGCACAAAGCAGCGAAAAAAGAAATCAATCATACCGCGACACAATAAAAACTATCTGCACCAAAATTCTAAAAGCACCAAGACTCTATGCATTCAAAGGTATAAAAACTGAAAAGCACCAATAGCATTGACAATTCGTTTAGTGCAAAAATCGAGGAGGGCAATTCTACTTCAGAAGTCACTAGATGCTATAAACACTGACTGCAATACTCTCACATTGATCGCTGAAGCATTTATTTCGCGATGGTATGGCCCTATCAAACCTGTACACGGACCGCCGTATGACGGAAGAGCGCCTTTTAATTAACATTTCCAACTGTTCTGGACTAATGTAACAAAGATTTTAGACTGCTAGCCCTTGAAGCGCTGTACATATCGAGAACGAAACCCTCCATCAACCAAATATTCAAATAAGAAATCCTCTTTGACCCAGACTGCAAGACTAAACTGCTGGAAATTTTCAAAACATTCTTCAAATTCATTTACAATTAATCAGATAAATGCACTTGGCGAATTTTCAGTGGATGTACTAACTTTAGAGGCGTAAAGGAACTTACTTTCACACACTGAAACATGAACTTACAACTTTTTGAATACTGGGTTATATACGAACCCCTGGTTTATAGTCCTGAAACCTTTGCTATTATTCTTATCATTATTATTTTAAGTAATATTATTATTGTCATTACTTTCATTATTATTATTATTGTGCCAGTCGCTCATATTCGGAAGTTTGACCTTGATTTTGGGGGAAACTGTAAATTTTGAAAAATTCGAATTGACCATGACATGCTCAAGTTTATTGCGACAATTGAAATGAGAAGTCAATTTGATCAGAAGATCCGAATCACAATTGCGGGAAAGTTGATAAAAATTGTGCTGGAGTAAATTTGCTATTCGCAATTTTACTGAAATCACCAAATCGAGTAAAGCTGTCTTGTTCCCGACAGAAAACATCGCGAATTCATACGAGAGTGTCATCGCTGGGCAAGAGAGAACCTTGATTGGGCAGGTAGACGAGTCCAACTGCCCAATGGTTCAGAAGACAAAACTACTTGAGTCAAAACTTTTTACTTAAAACTTCCAGAGTTATCTTAGTTACATTATTTACTTGAGTCTAGAGTCAAGTCAATATGTGTCAAGATGTGAGTAATGAATTTAATCTCTTGAGTGTATTTTTACACGATTATGTTGATATAAGGCAGGGTTTAGGTTGATTCATACGAAATTGATCAAAGGTCCACTGTCCAATAAAAACTAATGGTATACTTGAGTTTCCAACCCTATTTTTAACAGCGTTCGCGTGTTTAGGGTACTTAGAGACCTAGCCATGGGGACCTTCTCATTTCTAGTGTGTGTGTGGGGGGGGGGGGGGGGGTAATTTGGTAGTTACCTTTAAGCTGTAACACAATTTTGTAGTCCCATGCCTTAAGCGAACCGAATTGGCTCCGACAGAATGAGGTACAAAAACACAAGAGATAGTATCCCTGACCCTAGAAACAATGGTTATAGGGCCTATTCTTCTAAGCCTCATATGTGACATAAGCTAACGACTGTTACATATGTCAAATTAAATAAAAATCGTAGAGAATTATTCTTTTGTCCTAACTTAATCCGCTTCAATGACTGCAGACTCTGCGTAGGAATTTTTTTTTTGGAAAACACATCTATCATTTAAGCTCCCTTGTACCTGAATGCTTATATTTGTCTAGAAAGCGTTTTATACCAAAAGCGTTTTATACACAAGAAACGGCAAAATGACTCACTTTCAACTTGTGCAAACATGATTTCTTCCAGAGAAACTGAGCTGTTTAACATCCGTGCTCGGCTTCGCCTCAAGAAATCGTAATATTTAGCTTGTGTTTCGTCCATCTCAAATTGTGCCGGTTCAGATGGAAATGCATCACCGGCAAATGAAGTTTGACTGATATGATCATATACGTCAGCATCGATCATTTGACAGGGCGTGGCTACTGTTATATCAATGTTAAGCTCTACTTTTGGCGCAGTCTCGAAATTTACTTCATACTGATAATCTATATGTGTGCTCAAAAAATAGTTCAACTCTATGACCACCATTATTGCGATGAAAAGGAACGTCAAAAGAGCCAAACCACCCCCAGATCTCGACTTAGTCTGAAAATCTGAATCAATTTTCGGGAAAGCATCAAGATTTGCAATGAGATTATGAGCTGTACTGAACACTGGAGGTTCCTTACGAGGACGTCGATGTCGCACTTCCATCTATCCTCTAAAAAAGACCATTCAAAGATGTACACACTTCCAAGCGGCCATTCTTAGGCAATTTTTTGGTCACCACTGATAAACAATAGTTACGACTACTTCGCATTACGAGGTCAAACTGCATTTTGTGAATTGTAAGCGGATTCTAAAAACAAGGAAGATCCGTTTGTTTTTTCATTTTCTTCAATCGTTCTCAGCAAAATTTTAACATGTTTAGAGACTTGTCTCTGGAAATCAGGAACATACTGACACAAAATTGTGCGCCTAACGAATGCACAGTTTGTTGTTGTTGTTGTTGTTGTTGTTGTGGATTCTCAGAAATACTTCTGATGGGACTGCTCCCAGTTCATTTCTTCTTAAAACGTCTTCCATACATCCCTGCAGTTTCGACAATCACAAAACAGTATCCATGTGCAAGGATTCGCCTCATTGAATTTCGCCATTTGATAGGTCCACATAAAATTCAAGAGTCTGTTTTTTAGCCCCGTGGGATTGAAGAAATCTACTGTTCCAGGTAGATGATTGGCCACCCGAGACAGCCTGAAACAAAACTCAGCGCGAGCTTTTTCTGTTTGGCCTTGTAATGCGTTTCCTTATTTAAAAAAAAAACATTTTAATTTTGTAGTTTGTGTAACATTCGCCTGGAAGTACATATCGACGGATACAGCTAGGATAAAACGACTGGCTAGCGTCTAAACACAGCTCTACATGCTTTTCACCGTCTCTGCCTAAGTCAGTTCTTTTGGTGGTTTTACTAACATCGGGTCGACAAAAACGTTACTGCTTCTGGCTTCGGTCAAAACACTCAAATTAACTTTATTATATACAAGAATAGTGCGCTCATGGCTGGATTTCAGTATCCCCAGACCACGAGGTCACTCCTAAACTCAGGGCTGCTACAATTTATTATATTAAATTGTTTTTGTTCAGAAGATAAAAATCATCATCTCCATCGAAGATGGATCAACCCTTTCCCTCAACTCCTAGCTTCTCATTATCTGAAAATGAATCCAGATGTTAATTAAATTCAATTCAGGACATGACCAGGAAGCTAAAAGTTTATATAAAACAGTTTGAGTCTTTAGCCTAATTGTTGTGATAAACTTATTAAATAGTTTTATATACTGAATGGTCGGGAACTGCTGATCACACGGGCCTTCTACTCACACGGTCTACCAGCTTCTGCTCTCTTTGGATCTGGTCACCTCTGCAGTGGAACTTCTCCCTGGCGTCTCTGGGGTTACATCAGTCATCACGTCTCTCGGGTGAGATTGTTCCATTAGTTATTTGCTTACTCGTTTATAAATGCGTTCTCGTGTGAACTCAACTACTACAGCCCCCTGTGGGAGCTGTCAAAAAGATGTGAAATCAAAAGGAATTCTCTGCTCTCGATGCAGCAACTGGCACCATGACACTTGTGTTGGTTTATCAAATGATATGTATAAGCTTCTTGGAGATATCCGAGGTTGCTTATGGATTTGCGATACTTGTTTACCTATAGCTGAACACCTTGTTAAGCAGCAATCACCAGACCGTGATTTTATTCACCGCACTATTAACGAAGCAATCGCCCCTCTTCAGTCCTCGATACAGTGTCTCACTACCAGTGAGAATCCTTCCGAGAACATAGTCAAATCAGCTGTTAAGGAGACTCTTGACTCTATAAGGATTCCTGCAGCCACTCAAGTGACTAAAGAGCATTCCTTCGAGTTGCGAATCAACGGCATTCCCGAAACTGATGGGAGCAATTCCGCGAAACAGTCAAACGACGAACAACAGCTGATTACTATCTTAAAGCACCTTGGCGAAACAGGCGACGAAAACGTGGTATCTGCACGTCGTATGGGGCGTCCACAGTCAACGGATACGACTCCCAAACGGGCTCGAACGCTGCTTGTGAGGTTTCGAAGCGAATGGACAATTCGAAAACTGCTCAACAGGTCGAGTGATCTGAAGTCATTTGCATTCCCTGTGTACATATCAAGAATGCTTTCTCCAGCCGATCATGTGATCGAATCCAAACTTCTTGCCAAGCGCCGGGAACTCATCAACAACGATGTTCTTCCAGGTAATCTGAAAATACGAAACCTGAAGCTTTACAATGACGGAGTTGAAGTCAAGATCTGACAACCAAATCGCGTTGAAATTTTATCTGCAATGCTATACAATTGCCAATCTCTCCTCTCATTTGTGCGGCGCCGGAAACTTTGTAACTATATAAATATTCACCAACCAACGTTGGTCTGCATCACGGAATCCTGGTTAACAAGTGACGTGCATTCTTCCGAACTTCTGCCAACTGCTACCTATTCAATTTTGTCTCGTTCTGACAGACAAGTTGGCCAACACGGTGGCGTATTTATTGCTTGCCACAGTTCCTGTCCCTTCCCAGTAATTGATATCACAGACCATATGTTTGACTTTTCGTGTGCATGTGTAGTTTTATCCGCAGATCAGTCTTGTCTTATATTGCTGGTCTACAGTCCCCCTCGATCCTCTGCTTACTGTCTGGACGCGAGCAGTATAGTACATTGTGTTGAAAGTATGTATCATCGCTTTACTATGATCTGTGAGTCGCACAACATTCCATCTCAAGCTAGGGCTGTTGTCGTGCTAGGTGATTTAAATTTACCTGATATTTGTTGGCACACTCTATCAGCTTCATGTGGCCACTCTGAGTCACTGCTGCATTTCTTTGATTCCTACAATTTGCAACAGGTGATCGAAACACCCACACACGCGGCTGGCAACATCTTGGACCTTGTTCTATCGTCTCCAGGTGCTGTTGTTAACTCGTATGTTGATCAAGCATCCGTAATATCTGATCATCTGCCGATACATGCAGAACTTTCTCTTCGGAGCAATAGCTGCCTCAAACACGGTCAAATCCCGGTTTATTCAAAGTGCTCGTTCCGAGAAAACATGTTTTGGGAACACTCTGCTTTCCTAAGTGATTATGTCGCATGGAACGCCCCTTTAAATATTTGTTACGATACTTGGTATCAGTTGCTACAATATCCCACAAATTTGTCGCTTACTGTGAAGAGGATTAGGAGACAGTTGCTACCATACTACTATTCTTCGCACACAGTGCATCTTCTCAATCGCAAATCAACCGTTCAAAGACGTTTGATAAAGAACTGGAACCTCCGTGATGCATGTTTGCTGCGGACTTTAGGCGCTGAAGCAGATCAGTCTATTGTGATGGATGAATCTGTTCTATTTATGTCTCTAAACCACACACAGGCATGCTTCAAGTTTCTTCGCACAATGAGGAAAACTACCCTTCCTAGCACTATTAACTGGAATTCGCTAGTGGCATGTTCGGACAGTGAACGAGCCAACCTTTTTAACTTGTATTTTTCATCCGTTTTTAGTGAAGTCTCTGACCATATCCCGATTCCTTTTAATTCCGATCCGACCACTCGTTTGGTCGACATTTCGATATCAATTGACATCGTTGAAAGGATGTTGGCCTCTGTTGACGACAGCTGTTCTTTTGCTTACGACAGAATACCTCCGTTCATTCTTCGCAGTCAAGCCCGATTGCTTGCCACCCCAGTGTTTTTCTTGTTTCTTTCTGTACTCCATTCGGGTACCTGGCCTCATATGTGGAAAACTTCTGTTGTTACTCCTATTCTGAAGAAAGGGAATGCGATGCACGCCTCGAATTATCGTCCAATAAGCATTCTCCCAAAGTTGTCGCTTATTTTAGAACGTTTAATTTTTAACTTTATCTACCCAAAAGTCCGCCATCAAATTAATAGAAATCAACACGGTTTTATGTCTAGACGCTCAACTGCGACACAACTTGTTTGCTTCCTTGACAAATTGTATTGGGCCAACGAACGGAACGAACCCTTTCATGTAGTTTACTTCGATATACAGAAAGCATTTGATACCGTACCTCATTCTTTGCTCATCAGCAAACTCTCAAGATATGGATTTGATTATATGTTTCTGGCGCTTTTCAGCAGCTATCTTGAGAACAGACGTCAAGTTGTACGGGTAAACCAAACCTTATCGAACCCTTGTCATGTTCCTAGTGGCGTTCCTCAGGGCAGTGTTATTGGTCCACTGTTGTTTGTTTTGTTTATAAATGACCTTCCTGGTTGTTTAACATCGTCCACCTGTTATCTATTTGCCGACGATAGCAAAATATTGAACAATGACGTTGATCAACTCCAACTTGATATTGATTCGATGGTAACGTGGTCACAAGCGAATGGACTTCGTTTTCATCCCGATAAGACTCGCTTGATCTCATCTAGGGAATCCAATCCTGCAGTTACGATTGGAAATGCGCCGATATGTAATGCGGCTACTGTTTGTGACCTGGGTGTTACTATTTCGAGTAACCTCACGTGGATAATACACGTTCGAAACAAACTGGCAAAAGGCATAGCAATGCTGTATCTGATGCGTGGCGCTATTTCATACCATGCAAACGCCCGTACAAAGACCCAACTCATCGAGTCAACTGTATACCCTGTGGTTATGTACTGTTCTCCGGCGTGGCGACCAAATATCACGTCCCTACGTAAGCTAATGAAGTTTCAGCACCGCTGCCTGAAATGGTCAACAGGTTGTCCAGACTTCAAGTTTGCTCTCTTGTCACAGCGTCAGCTTCCATTCTGCTACCAACTCATATACAACGATGCCGTCTTTTTGTGGAAAATCCTGAACGACAAAACCGATATCGATGCCCTTGAGTACGTCTCTTACTCTGATGTCGACCGGGCCGCTCGTGGTTCTACAAGAAGGCCTTTCCTTGTTAGCCGACATGGTAAAGCTAGGACTGAAGACAACTTCTTCACCAGAGCAACAACTCTTGCTAATGACCTTCACTCGATTTCGATTGACATCAACTGCCCTCTGAAGTCGTTCAAATCCTCGCTTTTTAAATACCTGCTTTATCGAACCACAACTTTAAACATGTGCTCGTCTTGTTCGTTTTTTGTTAAATGTAGATGTTCTTCTTGTCGAGTGTAACCCTAGCTACGT